TAAAAATACAAAAATTAGGTGGGCATGGTGGTGCACGCCTGTAATTCCAGCTACTAGGGAGGCTGAGGCAGGAGAATCGCTTGAACCCAGGAGACGGAGGTCGCAGTGAGCTGAGATTGTGCCACTGCACTCCAGCCTGGGAGACAGAGTGAGACTCCATCTCAAATAAATAAACAAATAAATAAAAGCATTTTTGACTTACGATATTTTCAACTTACGATGGGTTTATTACAATATAACCGCATCATAAGTTGAGGAGCATCTGTATAAGAAGTGCCATGAAGGTCAAACAGAAGGTGGTATGAGAGGATATAATCAGAAGACCAACCTAGTCTTCCTTAAGAAAGCAATGATTGAAAGATAAGAGTTAGGGGAAGTTGGAGAAAGCTTTTCAGGTGAGGGGATATGTGCAAAGGCCCCGAAATGGGAAAAACTCTGGTGACTTAGGAAATGAAAATAGGTCAGTTGGCTTGGATATAGTGAGAGAGGAGGAAAGTGGCCTGAAAGGAGGCTGTAGAGATGGGGACCAAATCATGTAGGACCTTACAAAAGGAGTAGGATCCCAAAGACTCAAGGTCTTGGGGGTCAGGTTAAGGACTTTGGATCAGGATGGTAGTGGTTGAGAAAGGAGAAAAGTGGCAACAATTAAGATATTATTTGGTAACAGGGAAAGAATCAAGCATTTATCCTGCTTTCCTATATAAACAATATCACTAGGTAATCAAATAACCAAAAAGGGGCAATTTCCCTTGGTAGAAACATTGTACAATAGCTCGTAAATGAAGAATGATAGCATTATATCACCACTTAAAAACTCCTAATGAATGAATTGATCTAGGCTTTTCTCATCAATGGCTGCCAACATCACAAAAAAAAGGACACGCACACACCGTGTGTCTCTCAGTGGAAAAGTACACTGCCACCTATAAAGTAACATTGCCAAAAATTACACTTGAATTTGATAAAACATTTAGACCCTACTGCCAAATTACACAAAATGCAGATAAGGGCACATAAATACACCACAGGGATGCAGCTGACAAAATCCAGATTGTGGCAAACACTATAGGGCAAACAACCTAGTCCCTTTTTAGAAATGCTGGGAAAAAGAGAGGGAAAACAATGCAGAGGACTTAACCGCTATACCAGCCAAACATGGCACAGCTCCTCATTGAAACTGCAAAAAAGAAATACATGGCAGATCCGTACAGACAGAAAGTAGCTAAGTTAGTGGTTCCTAGGGCCGAGGAGTTGGGGGAAAATGGGAGTGACTGCTAACAGGTATGTGTTTCTTTCTGGGTAGTGAGAATGTTATAAAATTGATTATGGTAATGGTTGCACGGCTCTGTGAATATGCCAAAGCCATTTAATTGCATACCTTAAATGGGTGAATTATATGGTATGTGAATTATATCTCAAGGAAGCTGACATATGTATATGCATGTGTCTATATATGTGCATCTAAATGTAAAAGAAGAGACCTGAGGATTGAAAGGATATCAGCTAAGGAATGGAGTACAGTATTTCTACACAGAAGAAATAATATACATAGTGGACAAAGAGCATAGCATTTTAGAAGATGTTAAAAAAAAAAAAACTGCTGGTAGCGGTGGCTCATGCCTGTAATCCCAGCACTTCGAGAGGCCGAGGCGGGCAGATCACAAGGTCAGGAGTTTGAGACCAGCCTGGTCTCAAACGTGCTGAAACCCCGTCTTTACTAAAAATACAAAAATTAGCTGGGTGTGGTGGTGTGTGCCTGTAGTCCCAGCTACTCAGGAGGCTGAGGCAGGAGAATCGCTTGAACCTGGGAGGCGGAGGTTGCAGTGAGCCGAGATCCCACCACTGCATTCCAGCCTGGCGACAGAGTGAGACTCTGTCTCAAAAAAACAAAACAAAACAAAGAACAGAAAAAACAAAACCGCCTCTGCAACTGGCATGTTTCCTGAAAAAGCATAGTCAAGAGATGAAGCTCAAGACACTGAAAGGTCCCAGATTGCGTAGTGGTGTGAAAGCCATGCTAAGGGTTTGGGACTTTATCCTGGGAGCAATAGGAAGCCATTATTGGCTGACATGACTGCTATGCATTACAACTCTGGCGACCACGTAGAGAATGAGGAAAAGGGAGAGTGCATTTGGGAAACCACATAAGTGGCATTATAATTCTCCAGGCATAAGCTAGTATCATTTTATTTTAGGACGGCGGCAGTGCAGAGGGACAGATTCAACAGGACTTGTTGATGGATTGGAATTGAGATACAATAATGAAGTAGCAAAGTCAATCTGCTCCACTGGGTGAATGGTAAAATGTGAACACTAGAAGACGTATAAATTTTAGGGTAAGAGAGTGAATTTAATTTTTTATATATGTAGTTGTATAATCCTATAAGGAAGCAAGGGCAGGTAGAAAGCATTCATGCCTTAATGCTAATGCTTTTGGACTAAATAACTAAGTTTCCATTCAGTTCTAATGGTCTTCCACAAGGAAGTGCCATCTTTTGCAGAATTTAGTCCCCCAGACAGCTTGTGGCTGAAATATAACTCCTGGAATTTGCCTGGAATTTGAATTCCTCAGAATCATCCACACCGGGTTAATAATTAAAGGTTCCTCACACTGTCTACATTTGTTTGTTTCACCTGTGTACAGGATTCTGATTTCACAAAATCCTCCCAGCAGTATTATTTAACCTAATGTCAAAGAAAGGTGTGTATATTCCAGCAACCCAGAGGCAAGTCTCTACCAGCTCAAGAAGGAAAAAGGTGGGAGGCTGCAGAAGCCACAGAAACTGACCCTGCCCAGAGCCAAAACAGACAAGAGGGCTCCTGCAAAGTTAATCTTCTTTGAATTTTTTCTCACACCCTCTCCAAGCATCTAGCATTGAACTCTTAAGGGCCTCACAGTCACCTGTTAGTTAATAAATTCTTCAGACCTGAGGTGGGGGTGGAGTGGAAGGATGATAAAATATTTAAATGTTAAATGAGAAAGAAAAGCAGGAAAAGGCTCAGCCTGTAATCCCAGCACTTCGGGAGGATCGCTTGAGCCCGAGTTCACACAGCAAGACCCATCTCTACAAAAAAGTTTTAAAATTAGCCAGGCATGGTGGCACGCTTGCAGTCCTAGCTATTTGGAAAGCTGAGGCCAGAGGATGCTTGTGCCTAGGAGTTTGAGGCTGTATTCAGCTATGATTGCACCACTGCACTCCTGGATGGCACAATGAGAGCCTGTCTCCCAAAAAAATTTTTTTAAGTGGGAAAAGCAGAGGAGACAAGGGAATAATCTAAAGGGAAAAAAGTTTTTAAATGATAAAAGCCATATATGACAAACCCGCAGCTAATATCACACTAGACAGGAAAACATTGAAAGCCTTTCCACTAAGATCTGGAACAAGACAAAGATATACATTTTCACCACTCCTATTCAACATAGTTCTGGAAGGCTTCACCGGAGCAGTTAGGCAAGAGAAAGAAATAAAGGGCAACTGAATTGGAAAGGAAGAAATCAAATTATCCTTGCTTGCAGATGACTTGTTCTTATATTTAGAAAAACCTAAAGACTCCATCTCTCAGAACTTTGATGAACGAATTCAGTTAAGTTGCAGGATACAAAAATCAATTGATTTTATTTTCTTTTCTTTTTTTTTTTGGAGACGGAGTCTTGCTGTGTCACCAGGCTGGAGCGGCACCATCTCGGCTCACTGAAACCTCTGCCTCCTGGGTTCAAGCGATTTCTCACCTCAGCCTCCTGAGTAGCTGGGACTACAGGCGCATGCCACCGTACCCAGCTAATTTTTTTGTATTTTTAGTAGAGACGGGGTTTCACTATGTTGGCCAGGCCAGTCTTGAACTCCTGACCTCGTGATCTGCCTGCCTCGGCCTCCCAAAGTGTTGGGATTACAGGCGTGAGCCACCGTGCCCAGCTTAGTTGATTTTCTATATACTAACAGCCATCAATCTGAAAAAGAAATCAAGAAAACAATCTCATTTACAATAGCTACAAAAAAGCAAAATAAAATACCTAGAATAAATATAAGCAAAGAAGTGAAAAATCTCTACCCGGAAAAGTATAAATATTGATGAAAGAAGATGAAGAGAACCAAAAAAAAAAAAAAAAAAGAAATCTCATTGAAAGAATTAATATTGTTAAAATATCCATACTACCCAAAGCCACCTACAGGTACAGTGCAATCCCTACCAAAATATCAATGACACTCATCACAGAATTAGAAAAAACAATCCTAACGTTTGTATGGAACCACAAAAGACCCTGAAAAGCTAGGGCAATTCTGAGCAAAAATAACAAAGCTAGAGGCATTCCTCTACCTGACTTCAAGTTGTACTACAAAGGAAAGCAAATTTTTGTGTCAGTGTAGTAGTTGAAGAGCTGCCACCGCAGCCCCTGGAGAAACACTTAGAAAAGACTTGCCTCATGGTCTTTATTGACTGACTATCCTGTTAAAGGCACTAGAAGAGGTAGATAGGATTTGACTACTTCATTTCCACCCTGATTCTCGTCCAGTTGCTTACCACCTACATACATTCTCACATATTCTTTACCAGGGCCCCAGCTCCTGCCCTTTCCTGAGCCCTGCTCTGTGGCCGCCAGTCCTCTCCCAGGTAAGCATTCCGCCTTCTATCTCTTCCCCTCTTCAAATCTTAGTGCAAAAGTTTCTGGGCCTAATTCGCATCTTTCTGATTTTTCTCATCTCTGAAATGGGAATAATAGAAATGATAGTGGGAATAATAATAGAAACTTGTGATAAAACCTGTGAATTACAGTTGCTGTGAGGATTAGATAATATTATACATACTTGAAAACTTGTTGGAAACTGCGAAGGACTATAAAAACAGAAGTTGTTTTTATTGCCTTTATTCCTAAAGAAGATTTCAAGAGTCAGGGTGTTCAGGTGCTTGGCTGCTTGTCTCTCAAAGAGTGAATTAATGTGAGATGCTGCCAAGTGTTTCAAAAGGAAAATCCACTCTACTTCAGCGGGACGTCCACCTACCTCGCACAGAACCCTCTGGAAAGAAGTCTTTCGGTTTGCAAGCCGGAGGTGTGGGAAAACACAAAGCGCCCAAGGTGCACCTGCCTGCACCCCGCCCGCCCCCAGGCACCTGGGGCGCTGCCGCCTGCAGGCCCGGGCGCCCGTATGACCTCCGGGGGCGGTGCGGAGAGCGCTCGCCCGCCCGGCCAGGGGAAACCAAGACTCAGGGCAGTAGGAGTTTTAACTCCGAGGTTGATTGATTTTGCAGTTGACCAAGAACTTCAAAACCCCCGGGCGGTACTGGTAACTTCGCGATGGCCCGCACACTTCCTCCAGGAAGGCCAGGGAAGTAAGTGATGGTGTAGTAAAAATGACACATGCACGGTTGTGGAAGAAGTTAGGAATACTTCTGGAGCAGCTCTAGGTGTCCCTGTGTTGGAGGAACGAGAGGGGCCTGGGAGTCCGTTTCTCCACTCATCTCAAGAGCCGCACGTCCTGCCAGGTCACCGAGGCAAGTGCTAGAATGGCAGACAGCAAGCACTGCGAGGAGGCCCGAGGAGCCACGCACTCCAGACACCCGCCGCAGGTCGCAGTCCGCCCACGACGGGGGCGCGGGCTCACCTGTCTGCCGGGCGGCCCTTGGCAGGCCTGTTTCCATGGGTGAACAATGGGCACCTTACCAACTAACCTCTCTCGCCGAAGAGGGGCTGAAGTGTTTCGATTTCGACCTTGCTACAAAAACTACCCGAAAAAATAGGAGTTATGTTTTTAGTTCGAAGAAAAAAAACATGCTGTAAGCGTGACTCCTGCGGAGAAATGCTTCTCAGGTGTGATTGGGGAATTGGGTAAGAGGACGGCTTAGAGGAAGGACAAATGGGACAGGGCTTACGGAGCATATGAACGTAAATCTGCACCTGTGAACACATATGCAAAAATACAGTGTCAAAACTCACGGCCTCTCTGGGTCACGCAGGCTCTACCGTCTAAGGAGACGGAGTCACCCACAGTGCAAGTCCCGACGGTCAGAAGGGCCCATTTTCTGCGCTTGCGCAATCATCACGTTTCCCCTCCCCGCCCTGAGCCCCGCCCCCGAGCTCGCTCCGCCCCGCCCCCTTCTCCTCCCCTTCCCCAGTCAGGCCGCCCGCGCAGAGCATTGTGGGACACAAACAAAGTGCCCCCAAACAGGCTGGAGTGAGCGGAGCGGCAACGGCGGCGGCGCCGGCCCGCACGCGCGCGGCGGCGGCTCCCTCCCAACCTCCCCCTCCCCTCCCCTCAGTCCCCTTCCCCTTCCCCACCCCGCCCCGCTGGGAACACGCGAGCCGTCGCCGCGCTCCCCAAACAGCCGCCTGCCCTCGGCCAACCGTCCCCAACGGCCGCCCGCGCGCGGCTCCCGGGCCCCCTGGCTCCTCCCCTCTGGCCCCTCCGAGCGCTGGGGTGCTTCCCTCCCCGCCTCCTCGCACTCCCACCTCGCGGGCACGCCGGTGGGCTGTGCCGCCATGCCCCAACCACAGGCTGCTCACGGGCCTAGGCGCGGCGGCCCGAGATAGGGGCCCCTGAGCCTCCCGGGGGAGGAGAGAGGCAGCGAGCCGCGCGCTCCGCCCCCTCCCCCCGGGCCGCCGCCGCCGCCGCCGCCTCGCCGCCCCAGCCTGGCGGGAGAAGGAGGAGGAGCAGCAGGCCTCCGGGCCCGGCGCCGCCGCCCGCAGGTAACGGGGAGGGGAGGGCGGGCTCCGGTCGCGCGGGGGGCGGCCCCTGCACGCTGCCCGGGTTTGACACCGCGTGGCCCCCACCTGGCGCCGGAGGGAGTAGAGAGCGGGTCTGTCACCCTGGTCTGCACCGGGAGACACCCCACGGGATCCCCTCGGTGGCATTTAATCCTTCTGGGAGGAGACCGGCCTTGGGCCCCACGGTCCCGGAGCAGTTACCCCGACCTTCCGGGGAGCTGCCCGTCCTTTGCACGCCCATTTGCCCAACACCCTAACCCGGAGCGACCAGAGGTGTTGCCACCTCTCACCTGGTCGAACCCGGGAGGTTCAGACCTGTTTTTTTTTTCTCCTCCTTTCCCCTTTTGCTTTTTCTCTGGTACAGGAAAGAAAAAGATGGCACTTCTTTAAAAAAAATATATATATATATATGTGTGTGTGTGTGTATATACACACACACACACAAACACCTTTTTTTCTTTCCTTCCTGAGGATCACTCTGCATCTAGTCGTTTTATTGCTGGCCTAATCAGAAAAAGGGGTTACCTCGAGAAATGACAGGTACGTTAGAACTGATTAAAGGAAATTGCGTCCATGTGAGCTCTATGAATCCAAGCAGAATTTAGAATAAAACCCTGTAATTGTGTGCTTTTTTTGGAACTTACAGAAATGAAGACAAAAACTTAATTTCTTTTTTAGCATGTAAGTAGATAATGTCTTGAAGTCAGGAAGAAATTCTCTGTAACTTCCACTTATTTTCTTAGTGTTTTATTTGGAGATCGGCTAATACCGGAAGCAAGCTGCACAATTTTGATTTCCTTTTCTCTAGGTGTTCAGTTGGAATTCTTGGGTTTAAAAAATACTGTATAAATCTTCATTTCCCCCGTTACTTCACTGGGACTGTCAGTGGATTAATAATAATTTTACCTAATGTAGTTTCCCCTTCTCATAGAATGTGAATATAATGAACGTTGTACTGTAGTTTTGTATTTTGGGATTATTAGTAATATATTGATTATGAAAACCAGATTTATTTATTTTGTGCAGTACTGCTTGGCATTTTTGCATTTGTACTTAATTCTCAGAACAACCTAGTGATGCAGATATTATTATTTGAATTTTATAGAAGTGACAAACTCAGTGATACGAAGAATTATAACTTGCCTTAAGGACACACGACTAGTAAGATAGTTTAGATTTCAACCCAAATATAATTCCGGTGTAGGTGTACTTTCGTGTACTTTCTACTGTACTTCTCAATAGAAGTACAATTTTATTAACTTTGTTATGAAAAATTTTAGTCTTACAGAGGTTGGTTCTATACAGTTGTGATCGGTTATTCATGCAATGAATAAAAATGCTAATCAATGCAATGAATAACCAATTCAGTGGTTCGCATTTTTGCCATATTGTTTCCCGTCTTTCTCTGTATGTGTGTAATTATTTGAAAGTAAGCTGCAAACACCTTAATCCTCAAATGTTTCAACACGTGTTTCCTCAAAATAGGGACATTCTCCTACTAACCCCAGTATCATTATTAATGCCTATTAAAATTAACAACTCCATCTTCAAAATTCCTCAGTTGTTCCAAAGTGTCTTTGAGGGTTCCGCCCCCAGCTGTAGTCAGTCAAGATTCATGCATTGATTGCATTTGGTGATTAAGTCTTTTAGTCTTTTTTGTAAAATGAAGAGTATCCATCCCCTCTCCTTTTTGCAGGGGAAATTGAATAGGATGAATGTTCCCTCCCTCCTTTTTTCCTGACACCTAATTGACCAAACCAGTTGTCTTGTAAAATATACCCACATTCTGGATTTGTGCCCTCCTAATGTCATTTCATTTATTCCTCTTTCTCCCTGAATTTCCTATTAACTGGAAGTTAGGTGTAAAGGAAGGCTTAATTAGCTTAAAGTAAAACTTCCTTTGGCAAAAATATTTAATAGGTGATGCTATGTATCTCCTATTGCATAACATAGGAGGCACATAATGTCAGATTCCCACACTATTAATGATGCTAAATGTGACCATTTGATGAAAGTCCTGACTGCTGATCTGTTGTAAAGGTGTGGTTTGCCAGCTTGTGATTAACGTGTAATCTTGGGGTAATACTGGGACACTAAGCAAATACCCAGGTTCTGACAACCTTTTGCTTAGCACCCATGATGACTTTTGCTTAAATCAGTTGTTTTATTGGAGGTTCTCTCTAAGGAAGAGATTTCCTTCATTAAATGCAGGTAAATAAACTGTTGTTCTTCCCCAAAATGCAAATTAAATGTTAAATTTAATCTCTTTACTTTTCAATATTCAGAGTAAAGAGCTGGAGAAATAGCCACCGCCAATGATGACATACAAGATGTTTTTTGGGGGAGGGGTGAATGATACCACTTCGGACTCTGATGGATTTTAATTTATTCCTTGTTTTATAACCAGTTACAGTCATTTTTCTTTTTAATTACCAAATTGTCCCAGATTTGGTCAGTAGGATCCATTTCAAGCAGACTCGTGTGTGTTTGACACCCCTGCGCCCCGTTAACCTTGGAGTGCTTTCTGACACAAGTTACTCCAGGGTCTATCTTATCCTTTCTTTGCTCACCTCTGGAAAGGGCTGTTTATCCACGGAGTCTTGGTTCTTTTTAGTGAGAAATCATATATAGAAACCAAGTTCTGGATGTTTTTCATATTCATTGCTGCTGCAGTATCTTTGCTTCTAGGTGCTTTGAGAGGAGAGAACTAAGAAAAAGTTTTTTGCTTGTTTAATCATGAGTTCAGAGTGATATTCCAGTTCCTATTTAGCAAGCAGACTTTTTCTTCCTTGACTCTATGTTTTTCTTGTCTTAAATGAAAATCTTGGTATTTAATTCAATTAATAAGCTGGCCAAGCACGGTGGCTCATGCCTGTAATCCCAGGACTTTGAAAGGCCGAGGCAGAAGGATTGCTTGAGCCCAGGAGTTCAAGGCCAGTCTGGGCAACATGATGAGACCCCATCTCCATAAAAAATAAAAAAATGAACCAGGCATGGTGGTGTGTGCCTTTGTTCCCAGTTGTTCAGGAGGCTGAAGCAGGTGGATTGCTTGAGCCCAGGAGGTTAAGGCTGCAGTGAGCCATGTTCATGCTCCACTGCACTTCAGCCTGGATGACGAGTGAGACCCTGTCTCAAAAAAAAAAAAATTAATAAACCTATTTACTTTCTCCCACTGTATACATAAAACCATTTTAAAATTGTAGTGCTGGTATTACTAATATCAATAAGCTTCATAAAGTTTAAGATTTCTTTGCATTTTCATATTTAGACTGTATTGTGTGAAGAATGTATGAGTACTGTGTCACTTGAAATACTTTTCTTTGGTTATGCTACCAATTTGATATGGTTCATAGGTTTCAGTTTTTACTTAGGATTTTATTTTTGAATATGTAAAGTATGTAAATAGTGTAGACGTCAAAATAATGTTTTAAAACTATATTTGGATTAGGCCGGGCGCGGTGGCTCACGCCTGTAATCCCAGCACTTTGGGAGGCCGAGGCGGGCGGATCACGAGGTCAGGAGATCGAAACCATCCTGGCTAACACGGTGAAACCCCGTCTCTACTAAAATTAGCCGGGTGTGGTGCTGGGCACCTGAAGTCCCAGCTACTCGGGAGGCTGAGGCAGGAGAATGGTGTGAACCCGGGAGGCGGAGCTGGCAGTGAGCCGAGACCGCGCCACTGCACTCCAGCCTGAGCGACAGAGCAAGACTCCATCTCAAAAACAACAACAACAACAAAAACGGTAGTTGGATTAGCTGGACATGGTGGCACATGCCAGTAGTCTCAGCTACTTGGGAGACTGAGGCAGGAGAATTACTTGAACTGGGGAGGCAGAGGTTGCAGTGAGCCGAAATTGCGCCACTGCACTCCAGCCTGGGTGACAAAGCAGGACTCCGTCTCAAAAGCAAAACAAAACAAAAGAAAACAAAAAAAAGCTATACTTGGATAAACCTCATTAAAATTACTTTTTAAAGATGAAGTAGTGTTTATCTTTACCATCCTCCTTTTAATATCTACTACATTCTCATATCAAGCTCAGAAGAATTAGCAGTAAGACAAAGTATGTTATGTGAAGCCACATAGAAGTACTTTTAAATTTTAAAATTAGATCCTGCTTCCTCTGGCAAAGAGAAAGAACTAAGACTAATTTTTAGAAGTTAGCAGAGAAGTGGATTCCATGCTTACTTTTTTTTTTTTTTTAAGAGACAGAGGTCTTACTGTGTTGCCCAAGCTGGAGTGCAGTGGCTATTCACAGACTCAGTGCTGCTACTGATAAGCATGGGAGTTTTGACCTGCTCTGTTTCTGACCTGGCCCAGTCTCTCCTCACTAGGCAACCTGGTGGTCCCTCACTTCCAGGAGGCCACCATGTTGATTCCTAATTTAGTGCAGACACCCAATCGGCATAGGATACTACAGCCCAGAACTTCTGGGCTCAAGCGATCTTTCTGCCTCAGCCTCTTGAGTAGGTGGGACTACAGACACACACCACTGTGTCCGGCTCTTTTTGTTTTTCAAATAGAGATGATTTCTCACTATGTTGTCCAGGCTGATCTCTCAAACTACTGAGCTCAAGTGATCCTGCTGCCTTGGCCTCCCAAAGTGCTAAGATTACACGCATAAGCCTATAGCCATAGGCCTAGATACCACATTTTTAAATAAAAATTTCATAAAAGTAGAACTGTAGCTTTTACTTAAATCATGTCTTTAAAGAGGCATGTAGTTGTAGAAGCATGTAGAGGTTTTATGACTCCATCTACTTTTTGAACATTTTTGTTTGTTTGTTTTTGAGATGCAGTCTCCCTCTGTTGCCCAGGCTGGAATGCAGTGGCTCGATCTCGGCTCACTGCAGCGCACCGCTGTCCCCTAGGTTCAAGCGATTCTCCTGCCTCAGCCTCCCTAATAGCTGGGATTACAGGCGTGTACCACCATGCCCAGCTGATTTTTGTATTAGTAGAGATGGGGTTTCACCATGTTGCCCAG